CGCTGGTCCCGAGCACTAAATCGATACTGGGAACGCCATCTGTAGAATCTGATAGAAAAATGGTAAATTGATATTCCGACGCTCCTACTACTGTAGTAGCTATTACTATTGTAGTACTACTATTGCTATTACTGTGCCAGTAGTGTAATACTTTTATTATGAAATGCCATTCTCGAAAACGTAAACTCAAAAGAGCGATCATATAAATTACCACTACAGTTGAGCACTCCTTCTAAAATCAAACTTAAATCATATCATACCGTAATTCCATGCAAGACTATTCTCCCCCTCAGTGCTATCAACAAACACATCTGAACCTCCTCTCGAAAAAGCATGCCACGTTGATATGCAAATGTGTATTTTCTATTCCGAGATTAATGATAGTGAACAACTTGTCGCTATCATAGTCTCGAAAGGTTACTTTTATCACATTACATGTTCATAGCATTGTTTATGTGATATAGTTTCAGATCGATTCTTATTAATCTCGGAAAAAAACACCAACTGCCGCACAGTGTAAAATATACCAATTGTCAACCACATATGTTGGTCTCAAAATGGAAATTCCGATGAAATTTTGGGAAATATTTAACTTCTACTTCTCTACTTTCTACTCGAATTCGTATATGAACTTCTATAATTAGTGAGGAAACTCCTAAGCGCAGTGGAGGTAACCAAACGCATATATTTTCCCACACAGGTGTACGTATACACAACGGTACGGTCCACATTACAGAATAACAGTAATAAACTACTCAACAAGTGTGGTCGCTTACGATGGAATTTTGGAAAATATTTAACTACTTTCTCCTCGAATTCGTATATGAACTTCCATAATCAGTGAGAAACTGCATATATATTCCCCAACTGCTGTACGTATACACAACTCCCCTCCCCTCGAATGCTTACCAGAAGCGCTCTTTATCCTGTAGTTTGGCCGCAATACCTCCAACTTCCGATCGAAACAAGGGGACACCAATACATGGTATATACGACGCAGACTACTGCTGCTACTCTTGGGAAGCATAATACGAGATAGATATGTATCCCAAAAGCCTCTATATGCAACGATTTGGCGGAAATGTGGTATCACTGATTTCACATAAAGACCTTGTATTTGCTCAGCGGACCTGCGGCAAAAGAGAAGACGTCATTTTCTCCTCGAATTCGTTTTCCCGAAATTTTATCATTTTTATTCCAAAATCGACATTTTACGTG